CAAAATGGTCTGAAAGTGATAATTCAGCTGCCTTGATTCTGTATTGTTAGATTCAGTTATTATCATATGTTAAAGTACGTTTTTCACCATGTTATTTAAATTATTAGACAAAATATATCAATGTCATTCATTGTAAAACTCTAACGCTAAAATTGTTTTTATTATAAAAAAAGCTTGCCTTTATTGTTTTTATTGTCTGGATCACGCTACTGTGTAAGTAGTTCACGTGACATTCATGTATTCAGTGCATTAGTAAAAAGGAAACTCCAGAATTGTGTTTGAATTGACTTAGTGGTGAGGTCATTTACACCCTGTCAGTGAAACATAATCACCTTCAGTGGCCACACAGCTAGCAAATCTAATCATGAGTATGTGTGGCAGTAACCACTACTTCTTAAGAGGAAACACTGTAACTGCTCGGTAAACCTCTAATGCACTCTGGGTGTTTTAAAGCCAGTTGAACAGGTTTGGCTACGCTGTGCTAAACGAGAGCATATATTTACAACTCCAGGGAGCCACTCCCTGCCTGCTGACCTGTGTTTGAGAGAAATCCTGTATCATAGCTTAAGATCACATTGTCTCATTTGGCTGGTATCTCAGAAGCTTTGCCGCTGTTTTGTGGCCTCTGCCTCACACTATTCAGTACACAATGTTATATCTTAATGGTTATTTTATGACATACAGTACTGTGCAGTAGTCAGAGACCACCCTTTATTTATTGAATTTTCAGTCAAAATGTCCATTCAGGTATTCATTTTACAGCAAACAAACATTTGAGTGTCTCCACTCTTTAGCTCTATTACAGTTTACAGATAGCTTCTCAAAGAAATCTGCAGGGATGTTTTTTTTTTCCACACCTCCGAAGTTCAGTCATATAAGGTTGGTAGCATTTTCTCACCATCCATGTAATCCAAACACATTCAGTGATGATGTTGAGGTCTGGACTGTGAGGTGGTCAGCCCATTGTTCTGAGAACACCAGCAGCTTCTTTGTTTGATATGGAAATATTCTTCCCTTTTGTCTCCTTTTGTGCAAATGGGCAGAAGTATGGACAGAATTTAGACGTTACAATGGCTACTACTACTGGTTTTAGTTATGCAGTGTACATTTGTCCATTTTATAGATAATAGTGTCATGCAGTGTTAGAAACCAGATACATATGTGTGTTTTGAGATTAGTAACAACTTGACTGTTTGAGGCCATCCATTATTTTAGCCACATTTGGCTGTAGGGGTGAGAAGAAAAAGTCGATGTAGTATAATAGGGGGGTGGCCGATATGGCAGAAATGTGATATCATGATACTTGTTTCACGATACACGATATGCTCTTTGAAAAAAGTTTGGATGTCCCTGCTTTACTTGAACCTTGCTAGTGCATATCGTTGATATAACCATGCCATACACGAATGATGTCATATGTCATAACCTATCAGGATAATTCATGACAGCAGATGGCGTCTTTATAACATTATGTCAATGTTATGTTGCAAAATTTCCTCCTTTATATGGTATCAAGTGCTCTGGGAGATCCCTTAATGCTAGAAAACCAGGGACAAGTATTTAAAGATTTGGATTCAAACCAGTTTAATGATTGGTAGGCAAATCATCCTTAGGAGGTGGAAGGAAACGGGTCCTCCTTCATTTCAAGAATGGGTTGCTGAGATGGGCAAAATAGCTGCATATGAAAAATTAGCATTTAAATTGGGCATTTAGAGGTGTACAGACGCAAATGGGGCAAATACTTAAGATTTATAGAGAGTTCTTTTCTTTCCATGATACAGAGCTTTGTACTGTACTGGATTTGGTCATGTCATGAATGTGGTACCGACACAGTTGGGGTGGGAGGGGTTGGGTAAAGGCTTGACATGTTGTTGCAATAATACAAGTACATTGATCAGGCATAACATTATGACCACCTCCATGTTTCTACGCGCACTGTCCATTTTATCAGCTCCACTTACTATATAGGTGCACTGTAGCACCTATATAGTAGCACTGCACACCAGCAGCACTGCTGTGTCTGATCCACTCAGACCAGCGCAACACACGCTAACACACCACCACCACCACGTCAGTGTTACTGCAGTGCTGAGAATGATCCACCACCCAAATAGTACCTGCTCTGTGAGGGTCCATGGAGGTCCTGACCACTGAAGAGCTGGGTAAAAGAGAGCTAACAAAGTATGCAGAGAAACAGATGGACTACAGTCTGTAACTGTAGAACTACAAAGTGCGTGGAGCTGATAAAATGGGCAAAGAGCGTAGAAACAAGGAGGTGGTCATAATGTTATGCCTGATCGGTGTATATGTTTTTGTATGAATCTAAGATAAAAATCAATAAAAGCTGTTAATCTCAACCCTGACCTATTCCTTTAATGGTGTTTTGTGATGTATCTGCTTTTAATGCAGCCTCATGTGGTTGTTGAATCCAACCAAAGTCATGGGGGGTAATTCACCTAAGTAGTGGGTACAATTGACTGAGATACTTACAAACCAAGAGGCCGAGGGGGAAAGAGAGGGGGAATGAGCGTGTGATACTATTAGAGAGATGAGGGAGAGCTGGAGCGTTTGACGGATGGCTCAGCGAGTGTGTTGTGAGGGAGGTGTGTGTTGTACAGGAGGTTGTAGAGTGCAGGGTGTGTGTAATGGTTTTATTAGACTGTGATCAGGGTGACTGATAGCAGTGCCCTAAAGCAGTGAGTGACCCTGTTCCCCAGTGACTCTCTTAATCTACCACCATGATTACTATTAAAAAACCCCAATTAGGCTGCGGCAGTGGTGGCTGTAAGAACGCCTTTAATTGCGATGAGTTATCATCATCTGCTCGGCTGTAATTGAGGCCCGATCTGAAGGGTGCAGTGCATCTGACAAATTGATTTAATACCAAAGTGATTCTCTCTCCCTAATGACGCTCCTCGCGGCCTACACACAGATCGCTAACTAATCGCACACGTTTCTCATCACTGTGTTTTGTGTGTGTGTGTGTGTGTGTGTGTGTGTGTGTGTGTGTGTGTGTGTGTTTGGGAGGGAAGTGGAGAAATTTTAAGTGTGTATGTGTGTGTGTATGTGTGTGTGTGGTGTTCGGGTAAGAAATGCTTGCTGTATTCTTGGCTGGTCCCAGTTTGCTTCCGCTGTGCTGTATTACCACTGCGGTAAGGAGGGGAGTGATTTATGGACAATTAGAGCTCTTTTAGTAGAGTCAGCTGTGTGTATGTGTGTGTGTATGTGTGTGTGTGTGTGTGTGTGTGTGTGTGTGTGTGTGTGTGTGTGAGGGAGGGAGGGAGGGAGAGAGAGAGAGAGAGAGAGAGAGATCAAGTAGAATGAAAAAAGGAGATCCAGTAATGAGAATGGGGGGGTTGCTGGTTTCAAAAACAGTGTGGATAAGATCTTATATGTAAAGTACGATCCACTAAAGCAGATCTTATCCGTGAAGAGGGATCCAATCAAGCAGAATTGTCTAAGCTTATTCTCAATGGGCCAGTGTGGCTGGAGGCTGGAAGCTTGGGGGGATCCAATAGAGTGAAAAAGAATGGAGGGATCCAGTAGAATAAAAGAGAAAGGGGGATCCAGTAGAGTCAAAGACAATAGAAGGGTCTAGTGAAAGAGAATGAAGGGATCCAAAAAAGTTCAGGGGACTAGGGGAGCCAAAACAGTGAAAGAGAATGAAGGGACCCAGTGGAGTGAAAGAGTATGCTGGGATCCAGTGGAGTGAAAGAGAATGGAGGGATCCACTGGAATAAAAGGGAATAGGAGGATCCAATAAAATGAAATAGAAAGGGGGATAAAGTCGAGTCAAAGACAACAGAATGGTGTAGTACAGGTGAAAGAGAATGGAGGGATCAACCAGAGTTAAAGAGGTTAGTAAATCCATTACAGTGAAAGAGAATGAGGTGTTTCATAGAGTACAGAGAAAGGAGGGATCCAGTAGAGTGAGCAAGAAGGGGGGGGGTATGCAGGGATCCAGTGGACTGAAAGAGAAAGGAGGGATCCAATAGAGTGAAAGAATGGAAGGATCCAATAGAATTAAAGAAAAAGACAACGGGGGGACCCAGTAGAACCGACAGCGATAGAAAGGTCTAGTAGAGATGAAGGAAAATGGAGGAATCTAACAGAGTTAAAGGGATTAGGGGATCCAATACAGTGGTAGAGAATGAGGTATTTAATCAAGTAAAGAGAATGGAGGGAACCAATGGAGTGAATGAGAATGGAGGGATCCAGTGGAGTGAAAGTGACATTCCACAGGCATTTAAAATAAATGAGTAGCACACTTAAACTTAGTTTAATAAAAACACTGAGGCTGAGTGGGATTTTCGCCAACATTCTGTCAAACTGCGCAACGCTTGCTGTGAAAGAGCACATCTGGGGGCGGAGTGCGGACAAATCACATTTGTTGTCACAGCAACATGTACACAGGTGGATTTTTTTTTTCTGTCTGATTAATGGTTGATCTAATCGGTTTAAAATACAACAAAAAGATGATGCAAGGAAAAAAAGCGCCTCTTCCCAGGAGACCGCCCTGTTTTTTTTACACGACTCCACTTCTGCCGTTTATGACAGGAATCTTGAGAATATGCAGCCTAAGAAATGTGGATTGCAAAAACTGCTCTGACTCAGTTATTTAGGGAAGCGGGTTACAATAACAAAAACAGGTTTCACCAGATTTCATGCAAAGATTTATTAGCCTATCAGATGCGCTCCAGCATGTTCCACCGGCTGAATGAGGGTGTTTGTGCTCTGTCTAGTACACTGGGTTCTTTTTGGTTACTTTCCAAAAGGAGATTTTGAGGAATGTAAAATCGTATTAGACTGTTGAGGAAATTCTTTCACGCTCTGTCTTGTTTTAGGTTCTCTCCTGTTTCTTTTGCTTTTCTGTGTGATACTTGTGTGTTTCTTAGTTTGATTTTGATGCACTGTAAAGCAATATTGTTGTTGTTGTTGTTGTTATTGGGCAAGATTTGTCAAATATGTAACACTTCCACCCCTGTACCCCCTGTCTCTAGGGTAGGAATGGACACCATGAGGCTGTTACCTTCCTGGGGAATGACCAGAAGAAGGCATCGAAGGGGAAGAAGACGGGGCTGGTGGTGGGAGTTGTGCTGGCTTTGCTGGTGCTGGCAGCTGTGGCTGGAGTTCTAATATGGCTGTTTGCTGGTATATAAACCTTTCTACATCTAAGGGTCAGAGGGTGTCCTTGTGCTGTCCTAGAAGGCCACAATAAACATTAATTTTTCATGAAAATGTCAAATGTACAAAACAAGTAACGCTTTTGGACCAAAGACTAAAAAGTACAGTAAGAAAATGTTCTCAGATGAAAACTTCAAAGAGATGGAAACCAAAAAAAAGGTACTGCGTAATTCAGATCAAGTCAGATTACAACAATATAGAGATAACTTGTGGATATATGTGAGGTTTCTGAGAGAAATCACTGTCTAAAGTTACGTTTTTTTTTCTTTTTCTAAAATTCCAATACTGCAGATTTATTATGGATTTTAAATTCATTTTTGCTTTTTTGCAATGCCACAAAACCCATTTACACATCGTCGCTGTCGGAACAAAGCCTCATATCTCCAAAATGGTAAATTTACAGGAAAAGGTACAAATATTCTTACCTTGTGATGGAAGTTCATGTAGCAAGATTTTTTTTCCAAGTAATTCTGGATCATTTCTGTTGGTCCATTCATACAACAGAATGCAAAGGGTAACTGGAGTTTACAAGTTATGCAAAAAAAAAGCCAAAAATGGAGGTTTTTGCATGACAGTGATGATATACACATTTACATTTATCCGCCTGTTCAGCCTGCAGCAGTTCAGCCCCGCCCCCTCATCTTAAAGTTATTCACCTTGTTCAGCCCCCATCCATTTAAAGGACGCCCCTCTACAGCTTTGTTGTATTTTAGCTTTATGTTTATGCTGACCGCTATAAGAAAACACTAGGTGTTTCTCAATAGCGAGAACAAGTAGAACATACTTATGTTCTTGGGAAGGAATTTCTCAAAAAGTTATAAGAATGAACTCACAAGAACACAAGAACAAAGACTGAACTCTCAAGGACGCACACATGGGTTTGAGGCTTGCTACATACAATGATCAGGCATAACATTATGACCACCTCCTTGTTTCTATGCTCATTGTCCATTTTATCAGCTCCACTTACTATATAGGTGCACTTTGTAGTTCTACAGTTACAGACTGTAGTCCATCTGTTTCTCTGCATACTTTGTTAGCCCCCTTTTACCCTGTTCTTCAGTGGTCAGGACCCCCATGGACCCTCACAGAGCAGGTACTATTTGGGTGGTGGATCATTCTCAGCACTGCAGTAACACTGACGTGGTGGTGTTGTGTTAGTGTGTGTTGTGCTGGTCTGAGTGGATCAGACCCAACAGTGCTGCTGGAGTTTTAAACACTGTGTCCACTCACTGTCCACTCCTACCTTGTCAGTCCACCTTGTAGATGTAAAGTCAGAGACGATAGCTCATCTGCTGCACAGTTTGTGTTGGTCATCCTCTAGTCCTTCATCAGTGGTCACAGGACGCTGTTGGCTGGATATTTTTGGTTGGTGGACTATTCTCAGTCCAGCAGTGACACTGAGGTGTTTAAAACTCCAGGAGCACTGCTGTGTCTGATCCACTCAGACCAGCACAACACACACTAACACACCACCACCACGTCAGTGTTACTGCAGTGCTGAGAATGATCCACCACCCAAATAGTACCTGCTCTGTGAGGGTAATATTTGGTACTACAGTCTGTAACTGTAGAACTACAAAGTGCACCTATATAGTAAGTGGAGCTGATAAAATGGACAATGAGCGTAGAAACAAGGAGGTGGTCATAATGTTATGTCTGATCTGTGTTTTTATATAGAAGAAATAAACGCCTCTTTAGAGATATGCCAAAATCAGCACAGTCACTGTTGTTAAACGTTGTTGAACTGGACTTTTAAAACTATCGAGATGGTGTTGCCCTTGTTTCTTTCGCAGGTGAATAAGGACCGTTTCAACGACTGCTTTTAGATTGAGGCGCAACAGGGGAACCAATTAGAACAGAGCTCAGAAAGAGAATATATCAGTCTCTACACATTTACACCCAAAGTCTTGCTAAGAACAGTAATAAAATTGGCCACTTATTTTTTTTGTGTTTGGGGGGGGGAAAAAGGCCACTTTGTGGCATTACCCATCCACCCGATATTTGATATTTTTAATCACCCTTATGTTATATATATCTCTAATATTATTAAAAGTCAGAATATTTAGTTACTCAAATGTAATTGTAATCTGTCCTGAATTAGATATCATTTTTATTATTTAATTCTCTTGTAGTTTTCATGTGAGAGCCATTTTCATACTGTATTCTTGTCCTTTTTTACTGTCTTTGGTCCAAAAGGGTTACTTATTTTAATTAATTTTACATATTTCCATGAAAAATGAATGTTCTGTTTATCTCTGTCTGATAATTTCTCATGAAGTTTTTCCAGTAGGCAAATGTCTCAAGAAATCACTGTAAACATTTTAGAAATCACCTTACATACGCACACAATTCAATAAATTTCAATAAGAATGTGTGTGGTCATGCGTGCACATGCATATATGTGCTTGTGTGTGTGTGTTGTGTGTGATTGTGATTTCTGTTGCCTATTGTACCATTTAATGAAAAATGAGCAAAAGTGAGACAAATACATTTTTTTTTATTAAAATATCTGAAATTTACAGAATAAGCAACCCTTTTGGACCAAAGATTTAAAACAGTATAATAAGATAATTGGATATTTTGTAGCCAAACTGTTTGACCAGTTTTGGTTTTGCTTTCAGATTGGTACTCAGTGGATCTCTAAGAGCTGATGAAGTAAAAGAAATTAAAAAATTCCAGTGTGGGCATAAATGGGTTAAATGCACAGTAACCAAAACACTGCTAAGAGATTGGAAAATAGTCAAGTAAGAATACATCAGGGCATTTTGATGCATAAAAAAATAAATAAAATGGAAGCAAACTGTAGCATATGAGCCCTTAACTCATCAGGTAATGATTTAGGCCTTCAGGAGCTGAGTCAGCGATGCTGGAGCACTGATGTGCAGGGCATGGATCCTCAGGCCTGGGATCAAAAACCACCGAGCAGTATGCTGCAGGCGTCCTGCTGAAAAGCTGAACCTGCAAGAAAACAGTCCTGGCATACCGCCATTCAAAACACTGACCCATCAGTATGGAGAGGTTTGATATGAATGAGGTTTTCCGTATCGCGGCATGTCACACAAAATCAAGCACTAGGATTGGCTCAGAGAATGCCAGTGAAAACCAAACTGAATGTGCTTTTAGAACAAGCTTTTGTAAATTATGGTTAATCAAGAAATAACAATTTCATCTCCATTTTCACCAGGTTTTTTTCTTAAGTCTGAACAGAAAAGGTTATTGCTCGTTCATGTAACCCCATTCTGCTTTCACTCTCTCTCTCTCTGCATTTGAATGACTGCTAGAGTGAAAGTGTTCTGATACAGTGAACTGTGTAGAGCTCGACCAATGTACTTTTTTTAAGACCGATACCGATGTTGAAAATTGAGGATTTAAAAAATCAGATTTTTTTTTCTTCATTTAGGCAAAAAAAGTTACTTTCTATGAATGTCACCTTTGTAAGCATCTATAAACACATTTATAACATGTTATAATGTATTCATAAGGCATTATACACATGGTTATACATATTTATAAAAAAGAATTACACTGAATTACACTTTATAGCCATGTTTATTATACATTATGAATTGCTAATGTAATGCATTATAAATAGTGTTAATAACATGTTATAATTTCGGTGCCAAAGAAGTCAGTCCCAGCTTGGAGAGCATAAAGTAAAGACAAATACCAAGCTAACGGTGGTGTACATTACCTTTCCCACATTGGGTAAAACACTGATGGCAGCTCTAGTTTAAACTCTGACATTTGAAGCCTGTAATGCACTTTATTATGTATGTTTTAGTGTTTCAGTAAATCCTTCAGTAAATACTTCAGCTTGAAGCCTCACTCTGAACACTGGAGGAGGCTTTAGTACAGTACGCTTCACTTTACTTAGAGCGGACAAATACGACTTATGAGCTCTTATAATTTGTTACGATCAGTACTTATAATGTATTATGTTAACAATTCATAATGCATAATGTTCATGGCTATAATGTATAATGCATTTTTATAAATATTTATAGCTATGTTTATAATGTCTTATGAATGCATTATAACATGTTATGAATGTGTTTATAGATGCTTACAAAGGTGACATTCATAGAAAGTGTTACCAAAAAGTTAAATGCTGTTGTTTGAATGCTCATTAATATTAGTTGTTTTTAATTAGCTCTCTTTGTGGGTGGCCTAATTTAGCAATAAACAGCGATATAAGCTGCTGTAAGCGATGTTGCCTGATAATTTTTGGAAGTGATAAGCCAGGAAGAAAAGATAGGACTGCTGTTTGTTTGCTTGCTAGAACCAACACACTTTTTCATGAATAAATATATAATCAAGTTTGTCAGCAGCTCCACCACTCAGCTACCGTAACCTGAAACGTAGGCTAACTGTGATTTTTACCTGACAGTACCGGTGTTCTAACAATTCGTCCTACCTATCGAGAAGGTGCCTAGTGTAGTGTATTAATCTGCAATTAGCTCAGTTTATCAGTCGTCCTCTAATACTGTGAAGACATTAGACATAGCAGATAACAATGATGCTGAACTGTTAACTGCATTAAATAAAAGGTTAACAATGGTATTGTAAATTTTCAGTTTACGTTTTCAGTTCTTGTTAACCATTTCTGATCAGTACCCAAAATACAATACTGCAACATTTATTCTTTTATAATTAAAGATTATCCAGAAGGTGTTATTATAACAATGTTATTATTTGGTTAGCTGTGCTTTAAAACAGGGTTCTTGCTCTGGAAATTTAAAGTGATTATGTTCCTATTTTGTTCCAAATTTTGGTCATTTTTGATTTGTTTTTGTTCCTGTTTTTTTACCCTTTTTTGCATCCCTGCCCAAATGACAAGGCCTGCATGAGAACTCAGTAAAGTGTAGAAATCATGGCAAGTCTGCTGTTTTAAAGGAATCCGTTTCTTCTCTCCCTCCAGTCAAACCCAAAATGCAAGAGTCGGCGAAAGCCCCCACGCTGGAGGCACAGAAGATCACCTCGACACGGGTGTTCAGTGGACAGATGAAGCTGATAGACGTCCCATACGTCGCCGCATATGAGGACCCCAAGAGCTCTGAATTCAATGAAACAGCCACAGCACTGCAGGAGATTGTGAGTTTCTGTGAAGATACTTGAGAACATAAGGACAGACTCTCAGGTGCACGATAAAATGAAAGATTAACGAAAATCTCATTTTTCACATTTCCCTGAAATCTAGCCAATCAGCCAAGACTTGTCAGGTTTCTGAAGTTTGCTTCTGTAGTTTTGCACTGAACAAACTGCATACCTACATCATCACACACTTCCCTCAAACCATGAGTGAGTTTACATGCACTTAATAATCCGATAACTGCAGAAAATCGGGTTTTGTCAGTAATCCGATCGATGTGTTTACATGCACTTATGTAATCAGATAATGGGGAAACTCCAGGTCTACATTAATCAGGCAGTGATCAGATTTCAGCTTTGCAATCAGCCAATAAACTCACAGAAGACGACGTGACATAAACATAATGTAAAACTCAAACTTATGCTGCTGTTTTTTTTTAAACATTGCGCCACTTTACCTGAAAATATGAACATACATCATCTAAAAGATGAAGAATATTTAAATGCTTCATTTCGTCAAGCATGTAGTTGGTTTCAGCGTCGCTCCAAAAGTGTTTTGCTGCACTAACAGCCTCTACTCTTCTGGGAAGGTTTTACACTAGATGTTGGAACATTGCTGTGAGAATTTGATTGTTTTCAGCCACAAGAGCATTCGTGAGGCCAGGTGCGAATGTTGGATGATCAGTTCTGCATCATAAACACCACTCTAACTTATCCCAGAAGTGTGGGATGGAGTTCCATCACTCCAAACAATGTGGTTCCGCTGCTCCACAGCTCAGTGCATGGGTACAGTGACCTTAGGCTCATGTGCTCTAGAGCGTCCCGTTCTATTGGTCAGTGCTTTTCTGTGGAGATTATACAAACCGTGTGTGTGCAATTAAACGGCTTTCTCAGCACTTTAAAGTACTGATTAGAAGGACTGTCTGCATACCTTTGGACATATAAGGTATAGTTGCATGCAACAGTTTGGGAGCCCCTGGTCAAATACAATATTTTGTTGATTTTCTAAGTGAAAAAAGTACACGTTGTCTGTAAAAAACACAGATAATAAATAAATAAATATGTGGCTTGTGAAAAAGCTATGGCATATTTTATATTTTATTTACAATGATTTTTTTTTCTCTCTCAATATGTTAAGCTCATATAAGCACATATAAATCAGCTTATAAACAGACATTGTGACCTTAACGTTTCAGAAATATATCATGTTTTAAGTTTGTTTCCTGTCAAGGATGTGTTTTCACATGTAATTTGACCAGGGGTGTTCAAACATTTGCATACAACTGCATGTTAAGTACATCACATAGCTAAAAGTGGTTGTAGCAAACATGTTAGGTCACAGTTCTCATACAGTGTCAGACAACGCATAAGCAGGTCTATTAGGGAGTTAACAATGCAACGTTGTTGATGATTTAGGCATGCGGTTAGCACAATGCTAATTGGTGGAGATAAGCTTTCTGCATTTGTTAGCTACGTTAACCTCATAGCTTCAGTGCAGGACTAAAGAAACAAACCTCAGACACCAAACATGTCTGGACGGAGAGACAGACTGCATTTGGTGACAATTTGATGTTTTAAGCCATTTTCCTCACAGTAAATTACATCACTAAAAGTCTAGCCTTGGACAAGAAATCAATCAGAATACAGACTTTTCTATGGGTTTATGTAAAGGAAATCTATTCTGTGCAATTTGTGTTTAAAGTCTTTGCCCGGTCTGTCCAAAAGGTGATGCTGGAGAATTTTGCTTCAGAAAAGCACTTCTAACGCTCTGCTGAAAGCTTCATGGTTCTTATGGGAGGCTGTTCAGACTTTGTACTGAAATACAGTAAATGCATTTCAGTTTCCAGAAGAAAGTATGTTACTAGCAATCACTGTGTCCGTATTCTCTTACTGAACTCTTACAGTTCGTGCATGCACAGCAACACTTGTTTACAGATGTACTGTACTCCTCTGATCTCACTCGTGAAAGACCGAGAGTCTCTTAAATGGGCTCCTTTATGCCGCTTTTCATGGCATTTTCATGGCCATCTGTGTTGGATGAAGACGTCAGATCTTGAAGAGTGTGGGATCTGAATTGTCAGAGTTTATTAACATGCAATGCTTTGCAGGGTCCACAGCCATTTCTTTATTTCAGGTATTGAAGAAAGTTGTTGAAGTCAATGTAGGTGGACATTCTGAGAGTTTTAGAAGGCTTTGCAATGATTAAAATTCAGCTTGCTTAAGGCACCGTCCACTTTTAAATTTGAACCTATCTGCACTTTTCATTTTTCTATTTTACACGAAAGTTATTTAAATTTGAGGTGCTGTTTTGACTCCCTAGTGCAGGGGTCGGCCAGCCAAATGTTAAGAATTTGTCCTCTGCTTTGTATTGTTTTCTATGGTAGAAATGTGTTTCGCTCACTGTTTTTACAAACTGGACGCTTGTTCTCTATGCACAGTGCACGGCTCTTAAGCAAACTATTCTGGACACAGTCGAAAAAAGTTCAGCTTGATGTGGTCTGCAGTCCTTCATGAATCAAAAGCAAGACATAAGCATAAAGCAGTTTTTGCTTGTTTTTGCTTACAGCACTGTGTTTTGATTTTAACCAAGACAAAAAAAAAAAAAAGTTTTTTCCATCTTTAAAAACACAATGTAGCGTCCCCTCAACGATGCTTTGTGACATCATGATATTGTGATGCAAAACTGCATTGTTACATCATGATATTGTGATGCAAGAAAGCATTGTGACATCATGATTGTGATGCAAAAATTCACTATGACATCATGCTTTAATCTGAGTCTTTCTATGTGCAATTTCACCTGCATTTTGTGTAGTAATGACTTTAGTATCCTCCCACCTCCCAGCTCTACTCTCATTAGTGAGTTGTGCAACAACATGGAAACAGTTATTATTAACTTGACGCTGTGTAAAAAAATTCAATAAATGTAAATAAAAACAGAATGCAATGATTTGCAAAACTCATAGACCCATATTTTATTCACAGTCGAACATAGAACACATATCAGATGTTGAAAATGAGACATTTTACCATTTCATGAAAAACTTTAACTCATTTAGAACTTAGATGTTAGCAGTGCATCTCAAAAAAGCTGGGACAGGGGCAACAAAAGTCTGGAAAAGTAAGTGGTACTAATAAAAAAAAACAGCTGAAGGAGCAATTTGCAACTAACTCACATGACTGGGTATAAAAAGAGCATTTTAGAGAGGCAGAATCTTTCAGCAGCAAAGACGGGCAGATGTTCACCAATCTGCTAAAAACTGAGTCTAAAAATTGTGGAACAATTTCAGAAACATGTTCCTCAATGTAAAATTGCGAAGACTTTGAATATCCCACCATCTACAGTACATAATATCAAAAGATTCAGAGAATCTGGAGAAATCCCTGTACACAAAGACAAGGCCGACAGTCAATATTGGATGCTTATGATCTGTGGGCTCTCAGGCAGCACTGCATTAAAAACAGGCATGATTCTGTACTGGAAATCACTGCATGGACTCAGAAACACTTCCAGAAATCATTGTCTGTGAACACATTTCGCTGTGCAGTCCACAAATCCAAGTTAAAGCTGTATCATGCAAAGAAGAAGCCATATGTCAACACGATCCAGAAACACTGCCGTCTTCTCTGGGCCAAAACTCATTTAAAATGGACTGAGGCAAAATATAAAACTGTTCAGTGGTCAAAATTTGAGTCTGTTTTGGAAACCATGGTCGCCGTGTCCTACAGATTCAAGAGGAGAGGGACCATCCAGCTTGTTATCAGTGCACAGTTCAAAAGCCTGCATCTCTGATAGTATGGGTTTGCATTAGTGCCTATGGCACGGGCAGCTTACACATCTGAAAAGGCTCTATCAATGCTGAACAGTATAAAGAAGTTTTAGAACAACATATGCTCTTTCAGCAACAACGTCTCTTTCAGGGAAGGCCTTGCATATTTCAGCAAGACAATGCCAAACCACATACTGCATCCATCACAACAGCATGGCTTCACAGAAGAAGAGTCTGAGTGCTGAACTGGCCTGCCTGCAGTCCAGACCTTTCACCAATAGAAAACCTTTAGTGCAGCATAAAATGAAATATCTGGCAAAGTAGATCCAGGACTGTTGAACTGGTAGAATCCTACATCAGACAAGAATGGGACAATATTGCTCTCCTTAAACTTCCCAGACGTTTACAGACTGTTGTTAAAGAAGAGGGGATGCTACACAATGGTAGACACGGCTCTGTCCCAACTTTTTTGAGATGCGTTGCTGCCATCAAGTTCTAAATGAATTAATGTTTTTCAAGAAATGGTAAAATGTCTCACTTTCAACATCTGATATGTGTTCTATGCTCTATCGTGAATGTAATATGGCTCTATGAGTTTTGCAAATCATTGAATTCTGTTTTTATTTACTTTTATTTACATTTTACACAGAGTCCCAACTTTTTTGGAATTGGGGTTGTATTTTCTTTCCTTAAAACTTTCCATTAACTTCAATAATAATACAATATCTCCTCTTCTGATTACAAACTCAGATATAGTGTGGATTGAAAGTTTAGAATCTGCGCTTTCTGCAGAATCTCTCCACTTGTTGCAATGAGCTACACATGAGAAATAATGAAACAAAAAGTAAGAAGATGTGTTTGAAGGCATATATCCCTTAGGGCACCTAGGATGGTTAATGAAGTCAAGCTGATGAAGATTGATGTGGGCTCAGCTGACACCGAACTGTGACCAGAATCATGAGATAAAATAAGACATCAGTTGTTTTATTTTTATTGCACCTTCTCTGCGTGCACCCAGTTACGCTGCTGAGATTTGATGTCTAAATGATTCTGCTTTCAGCTCCTGCTGCCTTCCAGGGAGCTATTGTAGCGTTTCAATTTGCTCGCTTTAATATGGACGTCTCGCAGACCCTTTCATCTTAAAAAGAAACAGCTTCAAACAGAGAAAGGAGCTTCGGTGCGCTGTGCTCTGATAGACTTTGACATCTGTTTGGGGGGAAAAATTACAAGCAG